ACACGTATTTACAATACATTTGGGTGAATACAAAAAATAGAAAAAAAATTTGGGAAAAAATTGGGAAAAAAATGGTGATAATTCCGCTAAATAATCGAGAAAAACAAACTAAAAATTAAGGCGAAAACGGAAAATTGTATGCACTATCAGTTTTCGACAAAATCGATTTTGGTTTTTGATGTAATTTTAAAACAAATGACCATAGATACATGAAATTTTAACCGAATGTTTATATAAGTATATTCTATCTACCATGCAATTTTCAAAAAAATTCGACTTAAGTTGAACTATTTATAGGCATATGCAAATTTCGATCATTATTAGTTTTTTTTAAATTTATATCGATAAAAAATTTATTTGTTGGGTAGAAAAGCTTGAAAATATAAGGCTCTTAACATATTATTACAATAGCAGTTGAAAAAAAAGGAATTCATAGTCACAATTTTTTTTTATAAGCATTCAAAGTTTGAATTTTGACAACATACGTAAAAATCACGAAAATTCGCAAATTATTTTAAGCTAGACATTCATAAAAATGTTCTTTTTAAATCTAAAATTTGAAAATTTTTAATAATCTACAATATATCCTAGACAGATCCATCTCCGCTCTGAATCGTTTTTCGTATACAATAATATAATATCATTGGATTCGAATTTAATTCCTTCCTTTACAGTAACCCACTTGTAACCTATACATATACTGTGCAGCAGAGCGACATCCACGACTTACTCGCTTTTTTTCTTTGAATATTTCAAAGTGAAAATTTCATGTGAAATATTTGATACTTATAACCCGTACATCACATCAGGGTATAMAATATAATATATTCAGTAACTACACAAGTGTGCACTAAAACAGGTAAACTAACCTTTTTTATGAATTGCCTCCTGGACGCGATTCGTGTTTCCTTTTCATCTACGGTTAATTATTATAAGAGGTTTGTAAAGGGATACAGCCATAATAAAAATATCAGATTATATTAAAAAATTAACTGTATAAAAAATAATACTATAATATAAAAATCGTTATAATCACATATTTGGAAGAAAAATAATATCTAATTCCCTTGAAATCCATATTAATTTATCGATGGGAAGTCTCAAGTCTATATATATAGTTAGTAATATGTTTTTACTGAAAATATCTATTAAAGTAAAAACCACTAAAAACTAGTTTTCGTATAATAATATAATGTTCGTGATGAATATTTAATTTATTATTATTATTGTTATTGTAAAAAAAATTATCAAAATTAAAAATAAATTTGGAATCCACTGAAAAGTGTTAGGTGAAAAAGTAATATGAATTACGCCTCGGATCATGGTTGAAATATACAAGGTTATTGCATATATACCCCTTCTCTACCAAATATTTGATGATAATAACAAAAATGGCAGCGTAAAGAGAGCCAACCATAATCGAGTATATATGCGCGGTAATTTTGAACATTATATAGCGTATTTTCCAATTTCTATGATAAGAAAAATTGATATAATTGTAATTTGTGATATCCCTTTACGCAGCCATTTTGTATCTGATGATAACAATTCTTGTCGATATGCAATAACCTTGTATATTTTCAACCATGCCTCGGATGCAATTCGTTCAAAAAGGTTTGTTTACCTGACTTTGACGCAATTCGTGTGCACCTAACCGCTATACTATGCTATACTCCGGTCCACGAGCGATCAGGATCGCAATCCGCCCAAAACTCGTCCTATCCTAACCCACACTTAGCGCGCCATGATTATGGCATATAGTGGGGGAAATTCCGTCGCTGCCGGTTATTCTGCATGCGCGTGACGGTACGATTTCTCGTGGGAAGAAGTACACCACCAATTCCCGTTATTGTAAAGGTAATCTAAAACCGGTTTTAAAAAATTCAAATGAACCGTAGACGTAGAGGATAAATAATTAACGTAATTTATTCCATGTTTTATATTTTCAATGTATACATATATATATTATTATGTATACTGTAGTTGCATTGTGCCACTACCAAGCCACCAAGGTTCAAGGAATACGTCAAGTATAAAAGCAATGGTTAATAAAAGAACGAAAAAAAAATATAAGAGAGGCCTTTTTATAGTTTGTGGAAAATTCATGAGTCATGAACTCATGACGTAAGTTACACAAATACTATACTTACAAGTTACAATACTTTAAAAAAAACGCATGAATGACGAGTGTAGGACTCAACTCGAACTACTTAATTTTAAAACGATTACAAGGTTAGAGTTGTAATTTGTGGAATAATATTTTCTTATACCTAAGATTGCAAGTAGCTGGCATATACGTAAATCGAAGAAGGTAATTTATTACAAACAAAATAAATATTAGAGAATTCCAAAGTCATAAAATAACTAAAAAGTACCTACATTTCTATGCTATACAATACACATAGGGTCTAACTAAAAAGTAATAACTGTCTACTCCAAATAGTGCTAATTTAAAGTTTTAACACATCAATCATATTCAGTCATTCGTTTTTTAATTACAACCTGCAAATAGCCAATAGGTAACCATGTATATGTATGAAAATAAATGTTGTCAAAACCAGTTTTGAATAAAAATAAAAATAAAAATAAAAAATAAAAATAAAAATAAATCTAAGGCTTKAAAATTTAATACAAGATTCCTTACAAGTTTTTAAATCTTTATCACAAATAAAAAGTCCACCGGAAATTCAAATTAAATTTTTATGAGCATTTGAAATTCAAATTTTTACAACATTGGATTTTCACTGGATTTCACATTTA